TTTTAGAAATTTCTGTAATCAGCTGTGCCATGAAGGTCAATCAGCAAAAGAATAATAGTCTTCAAAGGAACTCACTTTTGCAATACAATCATTGAAGAGGACCTTATCCTTCATCTCTCCATTAACCTTATTCATACCACACTTAACTTTATGCTTAACCAACTGTCTTGCAGAATAACTTTGAATGATACATTTTATAAGTACTCTCATGTACAGTCAGAATGACTACAGTAAAATTACCATAATAAATATTTATGTTTCACATTTATTTAATTCAATATTATACAAATAAAGCTTGTATCTGGTAAGAGTAACAGAACAGAGCAAAGCTAAACAAATGATTAATTTATCTAAAATCATCTTTTCTATTTTATTTTTATAAAAAATACATTTGCTTATGGGATGTATATGTTTATATGTTTAACTATACACTAGATAGTTCTCCTGAAAACTGAAAACATTTATACCTACACAGTTTACTTCCTATGTATTCTAATTTAACTTTATTATTCCATTATATTCATCAATATGACATCCTTATTCCTAAAATAATTTGAACAGAAATATTCAAATAGTAAGTTGATTTTTTTTCCCTAGGAATTTATGGAAAAGCAACATACTCACATATATATGAAACTGTTAAACTTCTTAATAAATAACATCAAAGGACTGTTTGTTGTTGTTGTTGTTCTTATTTTATTTCCATCTGCAATGCAGAAGACCTGGGTTTAATCCCTGGATCAAGAATATCCCCTGGAGAAAGGAATGGCTACTCACTCCAGTATTCTTCCTGGAGAATTTCACAGACAGAGGAACCTGGTGGGCTACAGTCCAGGGGTCACAACAGTCAGACATGACTGAGGAAATAATGCTTTCACTTTCATATTGTGAAGGAAATGGTTGTTTGTGTTTCGTATTTGTTTGTTTGTTTGTTTATCAAGAGCTTTTGAACCTGTTGCTCAAAACAAAGAAGAGAAATATTGTACATTTATATTTACATAAGAACATGCTAATATTAAGATCCAAAAATTACTTTTTAAGCTAAAGAGATGGGAATACCAGACCATCTTATCTGTCTTCTGAAAAACCTGTAAGTAAGTCAAGAAGCAACAATTAGAACCAGACATGGAACAACAGACTGGTTCAAAACTGGAAAAGAAGTACATCAAGGCAGTATATTGTCACCCTGTATCAGATGGTAAAGAATCTGCCTGCAATGCAGAAGACCCAGGTTTGATCCTTGGGTTAGGAAGATCCTCTGGGAAAGGGAATAGTATCACACTCCAGTATTCTTGCCTAGAGAATTCCGTGGACAGAGGAGCCTGGTGGATTACTGTCCATGGAGCCACAAAGAATCAGATAACATGGAGGGACTAATATTTTCACTTTCACACTTTATTTAACTTATATGCAGAGTATATAATGCAAAATGCAGGGCTGGATGAATCACAAGCTGGAATCAAGATTGCCAGGAGAAATATCAACAACCTCAGATAAAAACTAATATTGTGGCATCTGATCCTATCACTTCATCCTAAACAGATGGGGAAAAATTGGAAACAGTGACAGATTTTCTTTTCTTAGGCTCCAAAATCACCTCAGACAGTGCCTGTAGTCATGAAATTAAAAGACGGTTGCTCCTTGGAAGAAAAGTTATAATAAAACTAGACAGTGTATTAAAAAGCAGAGCCATCACTTTTCGAAAAAAGATTTGTATAGTCAAAGCTATGGTTTTTCCAGAAGTCATGTACTGATGTAAGAATTGAACCATAGTGAAGGGTGAGCACCAAAGAATTGATGCTTTTGAACTGTGGTGCTGGAAAAGACTCTTGAGAATCCCTTGGACTGCAAGAAGACCAAATCAGTCAATCCTAAAGGAAATCAGTCCTGATTATTCATTGGAAGGACCGATGCTAAAGATGAAGCTCCAGTACTTTGGCCACCTAATGCAAAGAGACAACTCATTGGAAAAGACCCTGATACTGGGAAAGATTGAAGGCGGGAGAAGAAGCGGACAACAGAGGATGAGATAGTTGGATGGCATCACCGACTCAATGGACATGAGTTTGAGCAAACTTCCAGAGATAGTGAAGGACAGGAAAGCATGGCATGTTGCCATCCATGGGATTACAAGGAGTCAGACATGGCTTAATAACTGAATAACAACAAGCTATTCCTGGACTGAGCTAAGGGAAAATATGGAAAAAAAAACAAAAAAACTACTTTTTTTTTTTATTTTTTGATATTTTATCTCAAAACTAAAAGCTAAATGCCTTTATCTTATGAAATTCTTCTCTCATTTTTTGCTCCATCATTTCTTTGTGCCCCTAATCCTCTTTTGAACCACTCTCCTTGCCTCTTGACCTGGTAAAAAGCTCCCAAATTCAATTACTTCTTAAAGTTAAATCATTCTTTGAACAAGGAAGGACCATTTTAAGATTTGGTCTTGCACGAAACTGACAGCTACCATCAAAGACTTTTCAAAACCTCTTCAAGTTAAGAATTTGCAGAGTAATATAAATTAGTTATAAGGATGTATAACCCATGGATCTTAGATATATGACAACTAATTCAAATGTTAATGGAAATTTCAATTGCCAAAATTTGAATTGAAAATACAGAATGAGAAGATTCCAAAATAACTTAAATCCAAAATGAACAGGAAATCAGAAACATTTGGGAAAAACTAACAAGCCATTTCAGAGGCCATCTCCAAAGGCTTTCCTGTGAAGTAGCAATTCAGTCCTCTAAGCTAGGAGAGGTTAAATCTTTGGGAGACTTTTGAAATAGCTCTTTCACCCTTTTATATAGACAGCATGCAAGAGTAGATCCTAAAATAAATGTGACCTCAACTCTTTCTTCAAGTTTTGCTAATGTCTTTAAGTAAGAAATAGGAAATCTAATATGGAAGAAAAACTTGAACCAGTTCATTGGGCCATTGTAAACCTCCAATACTTTGTTCATTTTTTTTTTTTTTAATCCTTGTACCCACTGGTGAAAAAAAGAAAGCTTTTGTTTTTCTTTTCTTTCTTTTTTTTTTTAGCATTTACCTTAAACATTTTGAAGGAGCTTTAGAAAAAAAACATAATACAACTCAGATAAATGATGGCTTTAGAGATTAGAACAAAATGAAAAAGAAAAAGCCCCACTCTAACTAGTAAATAGCATCTCTAGATAGTATATACAAAAGGATATTTATTTTCTTGTTTGTTTCCTGTGTCAGCTAAAGTAAAATCATGTGTTAGTTATCATTGAAGGTGGTTGGTACTAAGAAAATTTAGCACCCCAGTTTTATTGTGTGTTCTTTAACCCAAAAGGATAATTTTCCTAAAGCACATAAAGACAACTCCAAGAAAACAACTTCCAGAACAGATGAGTACCTCAGTGGGATTGCTACAACAAAAATATGGGCAAGACAACTATGAATTAACCATATCAAAACTCTAGCAAATAATCTAATTATCTAGTCAATAAAATGACTAAACCTCTGTAAGACAGCCAATTTTGTAATTTTTAATTTGAGACTATTCCAATACTTTTCCCTTCCCAGGTCAGCGGTATGACAAATAAAAGTCAGTAGCACTACAGATAATGGAGAGGACTAAGGATATTTGGAGATCTATTGAAAGAACTGTATCCAGAGTATAGTCAATATTTTATCTGAACTTGAATCCCTTAGGAAAATCTCTACCATAAAACAAGTCTAAATAAATTGAAATGCTAAAATTGTACATATTATGTGTTATGATCACAATAAAAATTTTTAAAAAATCAACATCCTAAATAATCAAAGGGTCAAAGATGAAATGGCAAGAGAAATTAGAAAATATTTTGACATAAAAGACAGTGAAAGCACAATCCACCAAAGTTTATGAGATGTAGCAAAAGCAGTTCTTGTAGTGGGAATTTATAGCCTTATTTTTCTTTACTGAAAAACAAAAGAAAGATGCAAAATCAATAATCAACCTTCCACTACAAGAATTTAGAAAATGAGAAAGCTAAAGCAACACAAAATAAATAATAAAGATTAAAATTTAAACTGGTAAAATAGATAATAGTAAAACAATTAGAAAATCAATGAAGTAGAAAATGTACTTTTGAAAAGCTTGAAAAAAAATGAAATGAAAACTCTATGCTTACAAGGACCAAGAGAAAAAGAAAAGACACAAATTACTAAAATAAATAATGGAAGAGGAGTGGTCTTAGAGAAATTAAAAAAAAAAGTATAATAAAATAATGCTATGAACAACTATGTGTTAACAAGTTAGATAAACTGGATGCAATGACAAAATTCCTAGAAAGATAAAACCTATCAAATTGAAGAAGATATAGGTAATCTGAATACAATTGTAACATGTAAATTGATTGAATTAATAACTTAAAAGTTTCAATAAGGACACATCCTGGACCAAATAATTTCAATGGTGGTATTGATAAAACATTTCAAGAATCAATAGGAAAACATTCACTATTTCTTTCAAAATGTAGAAGAAAAGGAAACACTTCTCTACTCATTCTATGAGAGCACTTCTGTGATGATAACAAAACTAGATAGACACAACAAGAAAACTGCAGAACAATACCCCTTATAAATGTGTACATAAATGTTATCAACATATTGCTGTAAAAATGAATCTAGTAATAACTAAAAATGGAACACATATCATGCTGCTGCTGCTAAGTCGCTTCAGTCGTGTCCGACTCTGTGCGACCCCATAGACACATATCATAGCCAAGTGCAATTACTCCAGGCTTCCAAGATTCGCTTAACATCCAAAAATCAAATGATATAATAACTTACAGAATAAGGGACAAAAGTAACACACGATAACCTCAACAGACACAGAAAAAAAAAAAAAAAGAATCCAACAGCTTTTCATGATTAAAAAACAACAACAACAACAACAACAACAAACATCCCTCTGCGGGAAGGGCCCGCGCCCCGGCTGTGGGGCTGAGAGCCGAGCCCCTTCGCCACCGCCGCCGCTGCCAACACCAGGATGGCCTATTCTGAGAAGCAAGGAGGTGTACCCTGCGGTTTCATCCGCCAGAATTCTGGCAACTCCATTCCCTTGGACTTTGAGCCCGACGCGGAGCACCAGTTTGTGGAGCAGTTGCAAGAGCGCTCCAAACGTGCCTTCTGCCGCTGCGTGCTTCACCCCACAGCGGGTTGCGGGCACCGCTTCCGCCACCACTGCGTCCTGTCCCCGAGGGATGAGCGCAGTCCCCCTCTGCCCTGTAGATAAGGAGGTGATCAAATCTCAGGAGGTGTTTAAAGACAATTGCTGCACAAGGGAAGTGCTCAGTTTGTATGCATTTTGCAAAACAAAGCTCCAGGATGTAATGCCAAGATTATTCTGGGGCGATACCAGGACCCCCTTCAGCCCTGCCCGTTCCGGCCTGTGCAGCGCTCGAAGGAAAACTGCCCAGAGCCAGTCCCCAGCAAAGGTCTGAAAGAGCATTTGAGCGTATACTGCAGGTTTCCAGGGGGAAAATGCCTTATTGCAAAAAGAATGTGGTAGTCATCAGTCTACAGAATCATGAGGAAAACTTGTGTTCGGGGTACCCAGTATCTTGTCCCAACAAGTGTTTGCAGATTATTCCAAGAACTGAGGTGGATGCGCCCCTGGCCATGTGTCCTGAAGCTGAACGACACTGTCCTTTTACGGGCCGTGGCTGTTCTCTAAAAGATAAACGGGGGGACCTGCAGGGCCGCGAGCGTTCAGCCTTACGGGACCACAGGCTTCTGGTCTTATTTAGAAAAGAACTTCCAGCTAGAGGAAAAGATTTCTGACTTATATAAGAGCCTAGAACAAAGAGAAAGCAAAATCCAGCTGCTAGCAAAAACTGTAAAGAAATTCGAAAATGATTTCAAGCAACTTACACAGTTGTTTGGCAAAAATGGAAGCTTTCTCTCAAATATGCATGTTCTTGCCAGTCACACTGACAGGTCCGCTTGCCTAGAAGTTCAGGTGCTTCAGTTATTACAAATGGTGAACCAGCAACAATGTAAGTTTGACCTGAGGCCTTCGGTGGAAGCAACTGATACAGTAAAACCGAAAATCACCCTGCTAGAAACCAATGACCAAAAATTAGTTGTTTTGGAAGCCGAGACTAACAAACATAATGCCCACATTAATATTCATAAAGCACAGCTGAATTAAAACGAAGAGCCATTTAAACTGCTAGAAACTGCTTGCTATAATGGAAAGCTTATCTGGAAGTTGACTGAAGAAGGAGGTGCTGGACGGACACAAAGTATCCATCTTCAGCCAAACCTTCTACCCCAGTTGATACGGCTACAGCCTCTGCTCTAGAGCCTACCTGAACCTGGACGGGTCCGGGAAGGGGACTTAACTGTCCTTGAACTCTGGCGATGCGAGAGGAGTCTGACCGCTGTTGCAGTGGCCATTCAGGCAGAGGGTGACCCTGATGCCTTTGGACCAGAGTGTCAAAAAGAACCGCATTATGGAGACCTTCAAGGATGATCCCAATAGCAGCAGCTTTAAGAGACCTGATGGGGAGATGATCATCGCCTCTGGCTGTCCTCACTTTGTGACTCATTCCACTTTGGAGAATGCCAAAAGCACCTCCATTCAAGATGACATCCTCTTCTTAAAAGTGGCTGTGGATGTAACTGACCTGGAGGATCTCTAATCATTGCTTCCGGGGGATACAAGAACTCCTTGAATCCAGAATCTTTGATTAATGCAGGGACTGAATCTAGGCTCAGTACACATTTGTCCTTGGCTTTTTGTCCTCAATGTGTGAAGTCATTTTAAGATTTCTCAAGTGCTTTCTTCTTTTTACGTTTTATTGTCCAAGTTTGAAACTTACAATACTCAGACTATCTTCTCATTATATTTTTATATCTCTTGAAAGATGTCAATTTTCTTAAAGGTAAGGACTGAAGCATACCTCTTTAACTGATGTTTAGCCTTCCGGTCTCAGGGTCTGGTCTCAGCCCTCTATAATACTATATGTCTTTGAGGACACAGATGTATTACTAGAACTTCCAGTTGAAAGTGCTTTGATAATTTTATATTTGGCCTGTGGATTCTAGACCTGACCTTAAGTGTACAAAAGCTATCTTTTAGGGTTGGCTAGTCCAGCTAAATAGATGGGTTGTTGTTATTGTTTAGTTTCTGTGTCCTGTCTGACTTTTTGTGACCCCATGGACTACAGCCTGGTGGGCTCCTCTGTTCGTGGGATTCTCCAGGCGAGAATACTGGAGTGGGTGGCCATTTCCTCCTCCAGGGGATCTTCCCAGCCCAGGGATCGAACCTGTGTCTCCTGCTTGGTGGGTGGATTTTTTTATCTGTATCACCAGGGAAGCCCAAGTGGATGGGTAGTATACTTCAAAGTCAGTATGCTCAGTTTGGGTCAGACTTGTTTTGGTGAAATACTGTATTGGGGAAACTACTACACTTTCAATATTTTCATGAAACTTACTAGTAGTCAGTAAGCACAGTTTTGAAGGCTGCAACAGAACTTGTGAATAGAGTAAGCATTTTCATTCTCCCTGCTAAGCACTTGCATAGTGTGTGTGTGTGTATATACACACACACACACACACACACACACATATATATATATATATATATATATATATATATATATAAGTAGATACAGCCATCCCACTAAAGTTCATATTTTATTAGGTCCATCCAACCACATGAAAAAACACTTGCATATATATATATAAGTAGATACAGCCATCCAACTAAAGTTCATATTTTATTAGGTCCAACCACATGAAAAAACTATTTATAAACAAAATGATCAAATATTAGCAATTTCATAAGATTCAACTTAATAAATAATGTATAAGTACATGTGCAAACATAGTTTATATGTATTTTGGTAATTATAGTAAATTAATGTGAGGATGTGCAGAATTTAGTATATGATGGAGAAAGTGTTAGATATGGATAAGAGGAATTTAAAACCTAGGGAGAACACCATTACAATTTCCTCTGGGTGTAAGAACTCCCATCTGAAACTCATGGCTAAAAAGAGTCTCGTTTTCTTTTTAAGAGGAATTTTGAATTCACAAGTTGGTATGAAAATGGGCATTTATGTAAACTTATGATATTTCTTGTCAAAGTCCTGAGTACTTTGTGAAGAACAGAAAGATCATGTCCTTTTATATCTATCTGTATGGGTCTGAAAGTGCAAATACAAGTCTATACAAAGTCCTTTTGACTCTTGACATGGTGGTAGTAGTTTAGTCATGTCTGACTCTTGCGACCCCATGGACCAGAGTCTGCCAGGCTCCTCTGTCCATAGGATTTCCCAGGCAAGCAAACCGGAGAGGGTTGCCATTTCCTTGTTCAGGGGATCTTCTTGACTCAGGGATCAAATCAGCATCTCTGGTATTGGCAGGCTTCTGGATTAACTGGAAGTTTCTTCCTCTCTCCTGTGAAATTTTTAAGATACCAAAGACTCATAATGCACAAGTCTTCCCAAAGGGTTAAATTCAAAGACCTGACTTCACAGAAGAAATCTGGTAGAGGACCACCCTGCAGCTGCTGGTAAACCCGGGTGCAGCTGATGGTCAACCCCAAACATAGTCAGCAAGTCTTTCTCTAGACTGCACAGCTGGATGCTGGTGGTTCTGTGTGCTGGCCTTCAATGTTTCTCATCAAGCCCAAAGTCATCCTTGTGTTCTGAGGAACAGAAAAACACATTGTTGTAACTAGTTTAAGCCTTTGATATGAAAAACATTTTAAAGTTAATTTATCAAAATACTGATTTTGTGTTTTAACCAACTTCTCTACATAAAAAGTATGTTATGGCATGATTTGCTTATAAGCTCAGAGTCCCTTCATCATTCAAACTGTGAACACAAAACAAGGTATTCTATAATAAAAAGCACTTCTTTCACACACAGACACACACACACAAACAGTTAAGGTATTGAAAAGAATGATCTCAATCTGATAAAGACCAATTATAAAAAGCTATAAATTACCTCATACTTATGGAGAAAGATAGAATGCTTAACACCCAAGGCCAGGAGCCAGGCAAGGATATCTTACCTCACACTTACATTCAAAAATAATACTGGAGGTTTTAGCTAGGGCAATCAAGCAAGAACAGAAGAGCATGTCCATGTTGGAAAGAACTCTCTATTTGCAGATGACATGATCTTATTTATAGAAATCATAATTAATGTGTCATCTTATTAGAACTAACAAACAATTTTAACAATGTGATAAAATATAGATTTAATTTAAAAATCCATTGTATTCCTATCCACTAATAATGAAAAATCTAAAAGCTTAGTAAAGAAAACAATTTTCATTTATAGTAGCATCTATAAAATAGTAGAGATACATTTAATAAAAAAAGTAAAAAAATAAGACTCTGTAAACTATAAAACATCACTGAAAGAAACTACTAAGTAAATAAAAGAGAGCCCATGTCCACAAATGAGATGACTTAATATCATCAAGGTGACAGTACTACCGAAGGAGCATGAGGTCTCCAAATTTGCTCTTTTGAAGAGAACTTTGGCCATTCTTGATCCTTCCCATTTCCATATGAATTTTAGGTTTAGGTTGCCATTTTGCTTAAAATTTAAAACAGTTGGTATTTTAATAGGGATAGAGGGTATCTCTAGCAATCATAATCCTCAGACATTGCCTTTGTCCCAGTCCAAATCTGTTACCTCAGACCTTTAAACAAGAAACATTCTTCCTCATTTTTGAACCCACATCCACTAACTTCACTGTGAGACTTTTACTGGGCAAATGTAACTGCTACTTTAAGAGTAGTCTTGATGCTTCTTGAAATTTCTGAAGATATCTATTTTCATGATGAGGTAATAGCTATATTGAACAATGGCTCATCAGTATTTTTTTTTTTGCCTAAACTAATCTCAAATTAAAGATTTTATCAAAGGTGCTGACTTCTTGTGGAATTAATAGGTTGGATTTTGAAAGTTGAGTCCAATTGTGTTCTCATTGAAACATCTAAACATCTAGCCAGACTAACAAGATTAGATTAAATTAAATCATAAAAATCCTAAGGACTCAATATGTCTTATAATATGCCTATCCTTTCTGTTATAATACACTAAGTGAGGACATAGGTTTATTTGGAAATTAAGCCATAAATAAATATAATAGTCATTTTATTCCACTACATTTTTCACTATATTATTCACTATATTTTTCACAAATATATGTCACTATATTTTGTTTTACCTTTGGTGACTCCTGATTCTGCATATTCTGTAGTC